ATATGTCCCCATTACTTGTCCATCCTTCTTGAATTTCGTCAGGTGATGCTTTCAAAAAAAAATTATATTCTACAGCTGTCCATGTCCCAAATTACAAGTTTGTTTTTTTTGGTCCTAGAAATCTCCAATGTCCCAAATTTATTGTTTATTTCGGCCATGAACATTTCTAAGTCATCACAATATTTACATCTAATACTTCAATGTGCAACATGACTGCTCAATATCCTCTCTGAAAATGAAACACAATAATAATAATAATAATAATAATAATAATAATAATAATAATAATAATAATAATATTTTCCCCATATACCACTCCTATAATATCATTCCCGGGTATCAATATTTGGAAATGAGCTATTGTTTCATACTATTTTACTCAATATTTCCCTTAAGATATCTAGGTATCTCTCATTATCAAAGTGAATAAAGTAACAAAATAATAAAAAATACAGCAATATTTTATTATTTCTATTAACAAATACATTTATAGATTTACTTGATTAAATGCATGTTGGCGATTTGCGAGAATATTTTTGTAAACTGACAATGAACGATCCACATCTACTCTAGTGATAAGTGCAAATTTCAAGCCGGTCAAAATCATTGACTCTGTCAGATAACTCAAAGCACTATTAGAGTGACCACCTATATCTTTATTAATATTATTCAGTTCCGAATTGAACACATAAGAGAGTTGCCACCTATTGACACATACTCACCCGGAGATTTTCATGAGCGGGGGGGGGGTATGTTTTATTTAACATTTACACCTATTTTTTAAATTGTACAATCATAATTTTAATTTATTAGCTTAGAAACAATCAAATAAATTACATTTCCATAGTCAACAATCTATAAAACAAATAATATATGATTACATTAAAAATAGAACCTCTGTATTACTTTTCTGTAATATTTATTTTTAAAAACGAACTTTTCTTTACGGTATATTTCTCATTTTAACCGCTTTCTTTAGTAAGCATTCTTGCTTCTTATTGTTTATGAATTTGTGAAATTCGGCGCAAGACATACGAAGGTTGCCTTCTATGTTTCTGGATTTGGCAACCCTGGTGTTGCACTCTAGCAACTGACAGCTCTATCGTCAAGTTGGATCTTTTGAGGTTACACGTACTCAGAACGTTTTAACATACGAGCGCTATTTGTGTTGTTTACAGTAACTTAAAAGATTCATCTTGACCCAAGAATGGAATTAAATCGTCAACATTTTCGTGTGATTATTTTTTACAACTTTCGTCGTGGATTAACTCAGCAACAGTGCATGGATGAACTTAATTCAATTTTTGGCGATGAAGCACCAAGCATCAAGGACCAGTGTTTATCAATGGTATGGTGAATTCAATAATGGTCGTAGTTCACTCCAACACGAATTTCGCGAAGGTCGTCCAAAATCAGTTGTTCCGATAACCATTGATGCTGTGCGTGAACTGATATTTCAAGATCGTCATGTGACCTATCGTGAAATTGAGACAGCTTTAGGCATTAGTAGGACCAGCATACATTCAATATTGCATGAACATTTGACTGCCAAAAAAAATTGTTCGCGATCCCACACAATTTGTCAAGCACTCAAAAAAAGGCTAGTGTCGATTGGTCAAAAGAAATGCTAAAAAAATACAATCGCGGTGCTTCGAAACACGTCTATGACATCGTGACAGGTGATGAATCGTGGATATACACGTATGAGCCCGAAAGTAAACAGCAGTCGACTGTATAGGTGTTTCAAGATGGGCAAAATCCAACAAAAGTTGTTCGCGCACGAAATACTCCAAACAAATGGTGCCAGTTTTTTCGGAAAAACTGGATATGTCGCAACCGTACCACAAGAACAACGCAGAACAGCCAATTTTGAGTGGTACACAACGATTTGTTTGCCAGCTGTCTTCCAAGAAATCAGAAAAACCTACCGCCGAAGACGGATCACTCTTCACCACGACAATGCGAGCTTTTACACATCCGCTCAAACAACTGCATTTTTGAGCACCCAAAACATCGATTTGATGAGTCATCTGCCGTACAGTCCTGACTTGGCACCGACTGACTTCTTTGTATTCCCGTACGTAAAAAGAAACCGAGGGGTCAACGTTTTTCGACACCTGAAGAAGCAGTTGCTGCATTCAGAATGCATGTTTTGGAGATATCTCAATCAGAGTGGCAAAGTAACTTCGACAATTGGTTCAAACGCATGCAAAAGTGTATAGATCTTCATGGGGATATTTTGAAAAACAATAAAGTGATTTTGGATGATTAATATTTGTTTTTGTTCTCTAATCCTGAAATATAAAAGGCAACCCTTGTAGTTTAGTTTAGTAAAGAGTTCTGCTTTGACTAATTCGACTCTCATCCTGTTGCTCAAATCGGACCAAACATTTCCCATAATTGAGAAAATCCGTTATACGGCAGCATTACTTATGGGAATAGACGAAACCCTGCTAACAATTTTGGGTAGTTCTTTAAAATAATCTGATCCAGAAAAAAATTGACCCTTTGAACAGAAACGAGTGCAAATTCTTGAAATCTAAGAATCAGAAACCTTTGTACGCGAAGTACATTCAATATTGTGCATGACCCGGAGATGAAAGTAGTAAACCCGGAGCCCGGAGATTGGTCACGAAACCCGAAGTCTCCGGGTGAAACCCGAAGAGGGGGCAACTTTACCTGTCACAATGGACTGAACTCCAAAACGTTATTGTCAATTATTTTAATCTACGTGCATTCAACGTAGCGTAATAGACTCGTTTGTCTTTCGAAGTGCTGGACACGGTAATTGACTCAATAGTAATTATGTTTGGAATCATTTCTTTGATCAATGTCTTCATCCTTTTCGTAAGCTGTAGGAATAGACTACATCTTACTTTTAAATGGTGAATAGTCAGTTTAAATTTAAATACATATTATTGTATGGGATTATGTGACTCTTTAAATATATCAATATATTCTTATAATACTGGTTTCAAAAGAATCCTATAGTTTTCATCCATTAAGGTGAGATTCCCCCTCCTATGTTACCCATTTTAAATTTTTAATATTGATCTATGAAACTATTGGAGATATCAATTTGAAATTTTTACTGTATACGAACTATTGTTGTTATATTGATCTACAATTGAAAAAATTGCTTGGCAGGAAAGTGATTTTTTATCGGACCTCCATTTTTTTCAAAATTTAATGACAAATGTATTTATAAAATTGGAACAAATAAGGCTAATTTCGCAAAAATAGATTCACAATTTCACATTGTCTATTAGCGTAATCATAAACAAATCAATAAAATGAGTAGTGTGAATAATAGTTTATGAGAAAACATTTATAACAAAAAACTGTGTTTTGAGAATGAGTACCTTACATGAAGCTCTCCGGACATTTTCAAAATTTTATCAAAAACGTCTCAAAATTTTTTCTTTAAATTTCTTGTAAGAATAGAGAAACATATACTTATAAAAGTGGCATAGTACCGATTTTCACGGTTATCTCTGAATTTTTGAAAATTTCGAAAGTATGAATATTTTCGGTGTCTTTCTACAACTACAAAATTAAAGATAGAGATTTTTCCTTGAAATGAAATTTGCGGCCCGTAAATAGTTCTTTTATTAAGGTCATGCACATTTTTTGAAAAAAAATAGTTTTCGAGCAATATTGCGTTCAATATTTGCAATTTATAAAACAAACAAAAAAACACGGCTTTCTCAAAATTGTTTCCAAATATTTTTGTTAAACTTTTAGTAGGGATGGTGCTAAATGTACTCTGTAAGATGACATAAACATCAGTTTGCTGTATTCTTTTGTTTTTTCAAAAATTACAAAAATGCCTTTTTGACTAGTCTATCATGTTAATTTTTACGTTAGGGGAAAATTGTTCACAATATTATATTGATGGATACATGTGCTTTAAATAGTGTCCTATAAATTTTCTCGAAAACTCAAGCGTTTTCGGTGAAAACTAGCTCACATATCCGCATTTTCAGAAACGTTCAAACGCCATTCTCTCAAAAACGGCTCCAATTTTTTCCTTCAAACTTTTCGAACGGATAGTACTAATTGCACTCTTTATTTTGACGCAGAGTTCATTTTAAGGTACTTTTTTTTCCAAAAATTATACAAAAGTAGTTTTTTGTCGAAATATTTCACACGCCGTTAATATGCACTTTTCCAGAAATTTGTAACCACATTGTATTTGTGAGTTAAAGTGCTACAAATGATTCTGAAATACAGTTTTTCGAAAACTTTAATTTTTTTTGTGAAAAAGAGTTTCAAATTTCGAATTTACAATAGTGCTTAAACGCCACTTTCTTAAAAAAAGCTTCCAGTTTTTCAAAGAAAATTTGCCATTTAGTTCGAGGCCTTACTGTTCTTTAACATCCTTAAAATAATATTTCCGTTCTACTATTAGGAAACCGAAAAATTTAATTTAAAAGAAATTTAAAAGAAAATGTACATTTTTCCTGCCAGGGCCCAGACATTCGAATTTTTTCCTACCAGGGCCACAGAGCAGTTTCCGGTGCACGATTACGAAGTGTCTTTGTAAGGGTGAGAAAGCGAAAATTGATGCAGGGCCCTCAAATGTGTGTCTTGACATGGACTCTTACAGAATGAAATTACTTCTCTTCGTTTAAAAACATTATTAATCATTTCATTATTAAAATTGTTTCTAAAATATGATATGTTTCAGGAGAAAATTAAATTATAATTTTTGGTTGGCACTAGCGCCCCGAGCGGAACCAGATAAATCTAAGTACTGTCGTGTACACGGGCTGTAGTTCTTCCTTTAGCTACAGGAGAGCGTTTGCTGCTTATTTGTATGACCTTTAATTTAATGCAAATCATATAAATAATAATTAAATAATATTAGTTTACATTTATAACTAAATGTAACCTAGTCGTAACACGTATTGTACTGCTTCCGAGATATGCCCCAAGCATATAACAACAGAATGCCTGATAAAGAGTTCAACAAGTTTATTTCAACCGTATCACTTGTCAGTAATCGCCCTTCGCATTTGCTCATTTGCCGGGTCTCATGCATAGACAGCGCACAGTCAGTGTGAGTGCTCTACGGTCTCGTGCAGACATGCAATAACCAAATACAGTGACTTGTCATCTCAGAAGACCTCCGAAGTGTTTCGTGAGTTACAGTATCGAGTAAATTTGCGAAGCTTTGCATCGAAAGTACGCGGTTTAATCCAATAACAATGGCATCGTGTGCAGCAAATCGTATATTACATGTGGGTAAGTATAAATTAACCGGTTAACACAAGTAGGCATTCTACAATTAATTTCAAATATGAGATTAATTACTTTTCAAAATTATACCCTAAATGCATCAATATTCTTATTAGTAGTAAACATTTTTATTTGTAGCTCGTGTTGGAAATGCTACACAAGCACTTTGGGGCGCCAGAAGTATCTGGTCTCTTTCAAGTCTTTCTGAAACGCATCAAATGCTTCAGAAAACTGTGCGCGATTTTGCCGAAGCTGAATTGAAACCTAATGCTGGCAAATATGACAAGGAAGGCGTTTTGCCAATGGAGCAAGTAAATGAAATTAAAAGTTAGAAAATATCAAAATCATGTTAAATGCCTGCTATTGTCAATCTTTATTTTACTTATTATTTTAGATTAAAAAAATGGGAGATTTGGGACTTCTGAGCATTGATACTCCAGAAGAATATGGCGGATCTGGACTAGATTCCTTAGCCTATTCTATAGCAATGGAAGAAATTGCTAGAGGTTGTGCATCTGCTGCTGTTATGATGAGTGTAAACAGTTCTCTATTTCTTGGACTCATTATGAAGTTTGGTAGCAAGGAGCTGAAAGATAAATTTGTCCGTCCCTTCACAACTGGAGAGCAAGTTGGGTGTTTTGCTTTGAGTGAACCAGGTAAAGACTTTGAGAGATTCAATTTAAATGAGGAATTTAAATCAGGAATTGCTGTATAACTTCATTGTTTAGGAAATGGAAGTGATGCTGGGGCTGCATCTACTACAGCCATTCCTAAAGGAGACACATTTGTGTTAAATGGTACAAAGGCATGGGTCACCAATGGTTATGAAGCAAGGGCTGGAATTGTATTTGCTACCACTGATAAAAGCAAGAAACATAAGGGCATTTCTGCCTTTGTATTTCCAAAGCCAGTAGATGGTGAGGCAGTTGATGTTTCAATTAGCATTTTCTTAAAAATTAATTTGTGAATGTTTTGCTAATTTTTTAGCCTTTTATAGGCCTCTCTCTGGGAAAAAAAGAAGATAAGATGGGTATTCGAGCATCTTCAACTTGCCAACTTATCTTTGAAGACTGTGTTATCCCTAAGGAAAATATGTTGGGAGAGCCTGGAATGGGTTTCAAAATAGCTATGATGTCACTTGGTAAGTGAATAATGAGTATCAATAATAGTTTTCGAATGGTTACAATTGTATCTTTCCCAAGACCTGTGTTTCATGGATTGTTATTTTCTAAATATTTATCTATTTTAAAACCAAGTTCAATTAAATCAGAAGTTCAGTTTACCTATATGTTTCTAAAACAAATATCTTAATTGTCAGTAACAACTAGATACAACTTTAATACGTTCTAAATTATGCTTTCAGCAAGTTAAAAATTTAAAAAATAAATAAAGTATAAATTGTGTGTCCTATAATTATTATATATTGATTTCTTATTTAATTGGACATTATCAAAGAGGACAGTTGAAATACGAAACCACTGAGTGTTGTGAAGATTATGCCCTGAAGTACAAGAACTCAGCGGAATAAATTCGAATTTAGATTAGTTTTCTGATACATTAAGTAAATAGTAATAAATGAAATGCAGAAAAATAATTCTATAATCTATAAAAAGTGATATTTATAAATAGTGAGAATAAGCTATACTAAATAGGTGAAATAACTAAAATTGAAGGGGCTTGTCAGAAAATATCTGTTCTTATGTATATGTACATTTCTGTGAAGGTCATGGTGTTCAGTTATCAGCTCCTTTGACCTTGTTGTTATGAGGCTTGAAAATGACTAAGCAATTCAAACACGAGAGAGAGAGAGAGAGGGGGGGGAGATAAGTAAGGAGCGTATTTTGATGACGTAAAACATCGCCAAAAATAATCAATAATATATATTAAAATGCTTTTAAAATACCCTAAAAGTAAAGAAAAATGACGTAAAAAATGTTCAAAACCAGTTCAGATGATCAACTCAAATTGTTGATGTTACTAATGTAATCGAGGCTTCTTTCTTTCGCTCATGTGAAATAGGCTTGCAAACTTTTGCTTTGGCATGTTTTTTATCAGGAAATCCGTCTTTATTTATCGCGAAACCGGCCGAACCGGCAAAGGTACTGATAAGCGTCCCAAGAATCTTAGATTGCATACTCGCAATGGCTGACAATTCAATTTCTTAGTGAAGAAATAGAATAGGCAACTCAGGAATTATGTGGAGGTCATTTTGTTGCAGCTTGTCAATATTATTTGAAGCAAGTACCATTAACAGTATATTAAAAGAGATGGAATCGTTAAAAATTGCCCTAAAAATGAGGGGGAAAAGGGAAAAAGTCTTATTACTCGAAATCGACAAAAAATGCAAAAAAATACATATAACAGTGGGTTTGTTCTTGTGTTATAACACCAAATTAATGTCTACACTAAAAGGCATTGTTCTAAAGTGAAAAGAAATGGCATTACGTTTAAATCCGCCCCCTAGTGATAAACCGAGACACCCCACATTAATATAAACATTACTTCGACGTTTATTAGAATTTATTTGCACATACACAGGGAATATAGACAACATGGACGAGTTGCTACGGTGACAGAAACAAATATACAGCCGCAGAGAATGTGTATACTATCCGCATTGAGGTCTGTATTGAGGGAAAAACAAAGCCCCCTGATGAAAAAGAGAATCGATGTATTACTCGCCCAACGTTTCTTGAAAAATGACCTTGCTTAGCCCTCTCTAGCACAATAAACAGTTGAAGGCAAAAGCTCCCAGCGAGCACTGATGACAACATTCGAAATACATCTCTACTGGCGCAAAATAGAAACAATGGCGAGAACTTCAGTCCGTTATTTTCTCCAAAAAAACTAAATAAATGACCAAAGCAGGTAAAGATTTATCACAGGAGATACCTCGAACTCCTGAGAAAGTTAGAACATAAACTATTGAAAACGTTGCGAAGGTATTACTGATCCTCCAGAGACTGGCATTGCTTCATAAAATCTTGTGGCCCATTTTCTAATACCCCCCCTCTACCAGCATTTCTTCAATCCATCGTTCAAGAAAAATTGCGCGAGTATTGCGTGGGAGGCGTAGTCTTGACCGGAGAGGAGAGAATCTTCCCTTTCTGCCATCTGCCGCCATACTGCACACATCGTGTTTGGGGAGGCCCAAATTTTCATCTTTGAGTAATAAAAAACATTTGTTACCATTAGAATAAATTCAGTAGGTTTAGAAGTCATCTCGGTACATGGAAATGTTGCTCAAACTATTTATACATATTGAATATCATAGCAAACCGACACATTAATATCAAACGGTGTATTATTTACAATATGAGTTTTCAGCTGGACATTGATATACAGACTTCGAGATACCGTCAACATTTAAATCGTGAATATGGATTGTTATCGTTGGCATTTGTCTAGTGACTTGCGCTATTCTTTCTATAATTTTCAATTTGGTTGCTTTTTTAAATTCACGAAGTATTGTACACTAGCGCGTTTTGATTTTTGTTTTTAATTTATTTAAATCTATTTTACTTTCATTTAAAAAGTTTGTTTTTTGTGTTACAAGTTTTCCCCTACTACCTCCGCGTACCCGTGCGAGAACTCTTGCATATTAAACCTCACACTCCGTTCTTCTATATCCATTCTAAGAAGGTAAGTTGTTATCGAAACATTTATTTGTTTAATAATGTATAAAGGTAATGAACCAACACAATATCAAAAATAAAAACAATGCAATTGAGGTTGAAAAGAAATTTTCAATAAATATTTATTCAGTGTTATCGAGAAATGTCTTGGAACAATTCACAACACTTTCTTACAAATATTTGAAGAAATTATTCTATATTCTTTGACAGTTAGCTTTTCGCTTTTCGTGAGAATCCCAAAAATATTAAGAAACTTTCTACTCTTGAGAAAGCTTCGTGATTGAGTATGCTAACTTGAAAGTTTCACCAAATCACTGCTGATAACGAAAATACTGGTACAAGTAAAACACAAACCAAACTTAACAAGACACGTTTTCACTATTAGCTGGACACTCACATCACTCCACAATTGGCTACACAGCACTTGTAGACCTCGACAAAACGTTAAATGAATGTTTTCACTACGCGCATTAGAAAAAATCATCGGAATCAAGCAATTATTAATAGTACTTCTAGTTGTTGCTGCGAGAGGTAATTTTGAATCAGTAATTGTGAAAATAAACCTTGTCAGTCTGCGCAAACAACTGTGTACATTGAAAGCGTAAATAGTATAAGATAGAGCAATCTAAGCGTAACATCACAAAGATGGCTGGCCATCATCACCAAGGGTTGAAATAAAGGTGGCATTAGTAGTATCGTAAATGCCGAACTAGCAAAAATTTAATATAATATCCAAGAATATCTCATCCTGTAGGTTACGGTGTGATGAACGTTTCTTTGAGGCCTTAGACCTCAAAAGTTTATATAAAAAAAGCGATAAACTTTTTGAGATAAACCGCCCTGATTGGGGCATTTTGTATGTATAGTTAAACACGATTGGTTTTAATTTCACGAGTGGAATAGTCATAAGTAATATCACAGCACTTTAAGTGATTAATTTAAAATATAATTTGATGGGAAGGTTTCGAAAGAGCAGGGAGGCAACTTCGCGACAAAGAATATTACTGCGTTCAAAGCATGCGATGATAAATCGAATATGCACGAGATCATGTGCATTATAATTCGGCAATTGACGACAAATATTCAAAACTTGTTATGGAATTCCATACCGAATACGGTTGAAGATCTAGTGGAACGGTTGAGCCGATTCGATCAAACGGCAGATATAGATGGGAACAGGATGGGCAATAACGGGACATCAAATAGGAAGGAACACCAACTGAAGAAAATGAGCGATGGGGAAGATAAGAGGAAACAGAACTTTGATACGAAAAATATAATGGTCGTGACCGTTCCGGCCGTGCTAACCAGTCGGCAAGATATGCTATGGGAGGACGAAATTATGCTCGGAAGGAAGACAGCAAGAACATATTGAGATTAATGCTTCGAGCAGGAAAGATGGAGGAGGTGCTTGATTTATAAAATTTTAGGTCCCGGAACGCGCCCCCAAATAATTGTGAATTTCAGAGCAATAGTTATATATTTATAATATAATTTAATAATTATTCCTGGGTTCGTTGCGTTTCGCCAGAAATCGAGCCCTACATATTCAGGGTATCCAGGGAGGAAATGTCCAAACTTCGCAAATAAGCTCTTAAGAAAATTTAAAGCATATTTTGCCCAATGGACTACTTGAATATTCCGAATGGATGAGCCGAATGGATGAGTACTCAAAAGATGTTTCGGAAAGATACTTTCTATGAAAAATTTGCCTTTCGATAACATACTAGCAAAATGGCGTTAACCGCTTTTCATTCAATCCTTGCGAAAAAGAAAAGGTCTCCGTGTCTCTCTGACTGTCGCTCTGTTTCTGTCTCCTTCTCTGTCTCTTTGTGACTTCGTCTCTCTGTCCATCCCTGTTTGTCTCTCTATCTCTTTGTCTGTCTGTTTCTCTCTGTCTGTCCGTATCTTTCCCTCTCTCTGTTTGTCTCTATCTCTTTCTGTCTTTTGCCTCACTGTCTGCCTCTCTCTCTGTATCTCTCTCACTCGCGCTGTCTCTTTCTCGCTCTCTGTGTGTTATCGCTCTCTGAATCTCTCCGTCTCCCTCTTTCTCTATCTCACTGTCACGCGCGCGTCATCCTGTTCTCCTGGGGCGCGCCCTGCGTCACACGGCAACGCCGTGCTGAAGCTCGTATGGATAAAAAATCAGGCTATACGGTTGGAAGTCGCTGGTTTTTCGCAATGCTGGTACTAAATTGGGATCCGGGCACAAGGAAAAGGTAAGGGACATTGCAAGACGAAAAGAAATCATTAATGTGTTCGTATTACAAATGCAGCAAACAAAACAATCCGCGCAATACTCTTACTCTTACAGTTAACAACCTTCAAAATAATCCCCCAAGGCACCCACACATCTTTGCCGACGATGAGGAAGGCGCTCAGCTGTGTGTTTTGCGTCTACTCGCGCCACGTCGTGCAAACCGCTCCTCACGCAGCGGCGTGAGATTCTTCGTTTTTGGAATGAGATCAAAGTCGCACGGACTGAATCAAGGTGTTCCAAGATCTTTCACCCCCACCGTCGCACGACGGTGTTACGTTATCACAGAGGAGTATTGCATTGTTGAGAAACCCTGGACGTTACTTCCGCTGTGTGTGTGTAGCAGGAATGATCGGTAGTACGTGGCAGTGACTATTTGGCTCTTACGAACAGGATTACTTACGAGAATACCTTGGCTATGTATAATATAAGCCAATATAAGCATGACATTAGCGGGTGATGGATTCGTATTGAGTTTGCATATTGAACGACACTGTCGCCATTCGTTTGATTGTCTCTTTAGTTTTGGTTCATAGGTCATGCCTACGTTTAATCAATAAGCGATTCAATGCCTCATTTTTTAAATGTCGAAATCGCTCCAGATTGATACGGAATGTATAGTATCGAACCCATTTTTGCACCTCGGTTAAAGCATGTGGCACTAACTTTGCACAAATCTTGCGCTTTAAGTCATTCCTTAAAATGGGAACACTGTCGATGCACACATATCAGTTTATATGGCTAATTCCGCTGCAGTCCTGGGCCTTTCATCTGCTAAACAGTGTTCAAAAACAGTTACTTGCAGTTGCTACGCGTACACGTTTGAAAGCATCCACCCAATGTGCAACAGTTCGATAGAGCAACATCGATCACCCACTGCTTTTCGTCGCTCGGCATGACACTCACGAGCATTTCTGTCTCTCAGAAATGGAATTTTTACATAGGCTCGCTGCTCAACTTTAGTGACATGCTTCTTGGAACACAGTCTCTACGATACTGACGTTTGCATGTGTTGTCTACTAGACACCAATGCACTCAGTCGTTATCTGGTGGTACATCCCATACATCATTTTTTGAAATGTATATAGTGCAATAACGGTATACGTGATTGTTCGGAATATAAAAAATAGTTGCCATTTTTTCTGAAACGGTCCTCGAATATATACCGTATATGCTCGAATAAGACCTGCAACCTAATTTTGTAGAAAACATTTTCCACTTATATTGCAAAAAAAGTTCCATTAATTTATTACACTGTTAATGATGAAACTGTGCCACATTTACAATAAAATAAAAGTGGGTTTTGTTGATAAGTCAATCACAAATGCAACTTTCCTTCACATTATGCTTCCTTCCTGCTGGGTGGGGGCTAATTTGCTACGCTTCTATTACGCATATGAAATGTCTTTAGCGATGAAATGTCTATTGCCAGAACTTGCAAAATGATTAATAGTGTGACTTGTTAACATTACTGCACTTCGGTGTCCTTGCATACGACCGTTGTGTTGATGCGCGTCACCTAACGCTTATGATATCTGTGTCGATGTCTGCGCACACGAGTCATTTAAAGTGCGTCATAGATTAACACTGTATCTTATGTGAAACGGCATACGAGCGCTCTTGGCGACGTGCGTTGTTACCAACGCGCGTCGCGTGTTGAAAGCTAGAAACAGCCTGGAGAACTAGAGGGAGAGGAAATGGGTGAGGGAGTGGGGGACGCCCCCTCCCAAGACCCTTGATACGGATAGCAGAGAGTGAATATGTTAGTGTGCTGATTTATCTGAACATTTTTAGCATGATTTGTTAAATAGAAAAGAAAAAATAAATTGTATTTAAAATTAAGCTAGCTTAACAATTGCTTTTAACATCTTTAGATGGTGGCCGAATCGGAATTGCAAGTCAAGCTCTGGGGATTGCTCAGGCATCTCTAGACTGTGCTGTTGATTATGCTACAAAGAGAAATGCATTTGGATCTCCAATAGTTAAACTTCAAGCAATTCAGGTTTGGAAAAAAATTAAAATTATAAAGATCATCAAATTTATAATAAATATCAGACAGTACTGATTTTTCTTTCTTTCTTCTCTTCTAGAATAAAATTGCTGACATGTCTCTTAGGGTTGAGTCAGCAAGATTGCTCACCTGGAGAGCTGCCATGATGAAAGACAATAAAATGCCCTTCACTAAGGTGAGTGATAATTTTCACATCTTTCTTTATACTTCAGTAGTTAGAGAAACTGTATGTCAGACTCTGGAGTAACTCTTTTTTATTTTCTAGAAGGTGGCATTTTTGTTAATTAACTGGCCAATGCACATTTCTAATGTCTTCTCTACTGATTGTTGGGCACTTTTCAGTTTTCTTTTTCTTCCGTGAACATATGTTATTAAGATGATGGGCAGTTTGAGGGGTTCAGGTTTACTGACAATTCACAAAACTTATCAGAGTTATAGTTTTCATAGTGATGTTTCTATTTTACAGGATTATTCATTTTTGATACCATATCCTTTATTCTGTTTTAATTTGCAAGGTTTAAAAAAAATGTTAATGATTAATAAGTTAATGATCATTTTACCTTTGAATTCCTCTTTCTTTTAGCGAATAAATGTATTAAAAAGTTTTAAATCAACTATTTAAGTTGAATTAAATATTCCTTTTAGTTGTTATTTGTTTTCAAAGCCTTCCCAATGTGAACATGTGTTGAAAATGAAGGTGAATATTTCTCTACGTCTCTAAGATCAATATTAATTCTGAAAGTGAAATGAACGATCTTTCTGTGTGTTTAATTTGTCTTGTTTGAAAATACGAGGTATTTTAGTCTTCCTTTCTTCTATCCAGAAATGATCAGATTTCTGACGATCAATAAGATAATCTTGATTCTAATCTTGACAGCCCTAGATCACAAAGACATTTAGAGGTGGTGGTCAGGGTAATAAATATGCATTTTGGTATTGATATTAGTTTTTGTTCTTGATATTACATGATTGGATACAGTTGATTTCATTAATGTCCGTTTTGTTAACAAAGAGTGTTTCCCGAGCGTATCACACAAGTGTGCTAAAATAATGATTTTTTGGTATTGTTTCTTTATGTACTCTTGGATGGTAATTTGATGATGGACTCACCTTGGTATGGAACTTTCTGCAGGAAGCTTCAATGGCAAAATTGGCCGCGTCAGAAGCAGCAACGTTCTGTGCGCACACTGCTATTCAGGTGTTGGGCGGAATGGGATTCGTCACTGATATGCCAGCTGAACGACACTACAGAGATGCACGCATCACAGAAATATATGAAGGAACTTCAGAAATTCAGCGCCTTGTCATAGCTACAAATCTTGTAAAGGAATATGGATATTAAGTCTAAGATTCTCCAACGTCGTAACTTTAATACAAATAAACGTATATGGGGGAAAAGTAACACAGTTTGTAAAAAAAATATAGTTACATTTTCTCTATGTTTGCTAGCATCATTATGTGATAATTGAAAATTAAAAAAGTATCGAAAGACTGCATAAATAACTCTCAAGTAATTTCTCAAATATTAACTTTGTAAATACGTCACGTAAAATAAGGCATTAATTCAATTAAATTCAATTCAGTTCAATACATGATTCTACTTGTATATGAAAGATATTTTTGTATTTATTGTAAGAGTTTATATTTTAATAGGCATTTGATAAGATTTTAATAATATATTTAATACCAGTATTGGCAAATTGATTTTCTTAATGATGGGAAATTTTTAATAAAAAATTATGTTTTGAAAAGGACTGTAGTTTCCATTTTAACATAATATGCATGCGGGCATTGAATGAAAAGAAGTACTATCGAGTGTATTGAAACCGTGTTCGTGGATTAATTCTTCTAACATTGTATAGCTCTTTAATTCATAAATTTCCGCCCCACGCATGTAACCCACTGCAACCGTCCTGTGAATTGATAAAAGAAAAAATAATACTAATTTATATTCATATTTTTTGCCTCACGTGTGGAAGCCACTGAAATCCTTTTCGCGTGTTACGTTTAATTTTTGAAAGAAAATGTTTGCTTCTATTTAGACACAACACGTCTCCCAGCCCCTAGAAGAACATTGAGCGTTTTTTTGGGATAATCCATTAACATACATATATGGCGAGTCTCTCTCTTCCATTAACATTCATATCAGTCAAGTGTGTACCTCTAGCTACGCTTTATTTATTTAATAATAATACATAGATATGTCTCTTACACTTCTTAAACTTTTAATATTTCTTTTGTGATTGATAAACTAATGCACGGATTCAGAAATTTATTTTGGGTTAGGTTCGCGAAAGGGTCTCATAAGGGTTACGTGATGCTTTCATCGTTATTATGGGAATAGAACACGTGCCCTTATTGGTGGTAACATATAAACGCGCCTAAATATTCAAAAAAACATAGTTTCGAATTTATAATGTTACGACCACAAATAATCGGCACAACTCTATTTTTCCTTTACACAAACATTGTTTATTTTCGTTCCTATTTCACAGCGGCTCCACCTAAATTGCGACAAATACACAACACAAAAACAAAATAAAAATCATACGAAAAAATATTTTATTCTCTGAAATAACAAACTTAAATATACCCACTCACGCCTATCTACATTATATTAATTTAAAAAAAACGCATTCATAATATGCACGCATGATATTATGGGAATTTACTTTTAAATTTAAACCTCTTTTTAATCTTTAAACATCCTTGGGCGTGTCATATTAATTCCAAGAAAATAGTTCAGAGTTTTCACTACTCTTGAATTCGCATCTTACAGTTCATCAGCGCCCTATCCGCTGATATTCAGGAGCTTCCATTTCTCCATTAATTAGCATCTCCATCTTTACTTTTCACCTATGCACTCATTACATAACTTTCTATTCAACTCGACATTTTTTTCTTTAAACAAAAATCGCGACTCGCGGTTCGGCGATCAATTCAAATAGCCTCTTACAACCGTTCTCCAGGCCGACTAAAATCATTCTCCTGGCTTTTTCTGCTACTAGCTTCAACGAAGACTAAAACAACTTCCTTCACTTTCGTATACCCACTTCTGTAGACCGTTTTGTTTTTTATTGTTCATTTTAATAATAATATCTTGTCACTCATTTCTACTGCCAACGAAATATTTTCAATACAATTCCTTCCAAAATTTGTTAATTTATGTCCCTTTAATCTTTTTACAACTGAATAATATCCCCTAAGTCTTTTGACTTCGCCCTTTCAACTTTCTTTCATATTATTTCTTTTTTACGTTTTAGTTCCCAAAATCCAATATCGAAACAAATGTTTGTGCAATTCGTATGCGTACCTTTCTTGATTTGCGTTCGTCATATTTGTTATTTAACACGTTTCCTCCAACGGCTCAATTTAAATAAAAACGTTTTATTTTTCGATTTTCTTTCATTTGTTTAAGTCATGATTCAGCAATGTTTCGCAGCCTCAACAAGAAGTATTCTATTGATTTCAGAGTGTATTCTAGAAATTGTTTCATTTTGACGTGATTTTAAGTGTGTGTGACATGATACTTTGTGATTATTTTCTTTGTGTTCTCTTCAGTGCTTTGTAAAGCGTTTTGACTGTTTAAGAATATATACACTGATTTTCACCTACTCCTGTGCCTTGGAAAAGCTTTCTCACTCCCTGAGATCGCAAAGCTCATTGCGAGCATTCATTCTGCCTATCTGAGGGGGTCTTAGGGACTGCGGGGGAGGTCAGATAGATTGGTGCCCAAAACGCGGGACAGTGATCATTCGGACATCGAATAGGCAAAGTAACCCAAGCCACAGATTTAGGAAGCGATTTTGTGAGTGCCATTTGTATGCCATTTTCTTCAGCGAAGTGCTATATTTATTTTGTGAAGTGTATTGTATTGTATGTGCATTTTATTTTATTTTATTTTGGAGAGTGGAGTGTATTACAAAGGGGTACAATGCAGTAGTATCAGTTGTGAATAGAATAGAAGTTGTGAGTATAGGAAAGCTAAGAGAATTGAGAGCGAGGAACGAAGTGCGGGGGAAGAAGGTAACTATTCAGGAAAATTGAAAGATTAAATTTAGGAGAGGACGAGGAGGTAGTAAATCCGACCGCAGGCAGCACCGAATCATCCAAAACGACGCCGAAAACATCACCGCAAAAAGGAGAAGAGGAATACCCTATGAACGCTAATGCAGGCGCTGCTAGGAAATTTCTGCGGACGATAGGCCAACATGTAGACATACATATAGACTTAAACGTTTTTAGGCATACCTATTTTCGAGAGCAAAATTGTGTGTGTATTTCCTCGCCAACTGCACCAATCATTGCCAATTTTTGGAACTGCACTGTTTGACCTTAATCCTGACGCGTGGGATGAGTTGCAGTTCAACGACTTTACGACCGAATTGTCGAGATCAATTCGAGATCGTATTGTCGAGGTGAAACCAATCTTTTTCCTTCCTATACTTTAGTGAAAAGAGGAAAAGTTGAAATACGGAAAAAAATATATTTAACACGGCGTCAAGATTTTTCTTTAGATTTTTGCTCGAATAGAACAATTTTAGCTAAATAATATGGCATAGATCTAATTTTCCGTTAGACATCTGAACATTCAACTTTCAACTTTCCTTTTGATTCTTTTTTTGGGTCTGTGGCCAAACGGGTGGTCAAAATGGAGAAGATAGTTACTCAATGGCGCTTATTTACCTAACTTAGAATCAACTGGTGAGTATTTTATTAAGTAATAATTACAAATGAGAGAAAAATGTGATGTTGTAGCATGACTGGTATTTACTAGCATAAATTTAAATTGAGAAATTTTTACACATTTGAAGAATAATTGCAATCAACAAGGAGTATTATAAATAAATATTATAAAGAAAGAAATGACACTAAAAGATGAAACTGACTTATCAAATAGTGAGAATGGGCAAACAAATAGGAAAGTGGACTGAAATATTATTGTAATAAGGAGGAAAATGCAGTACATCTTAGTAGTAACATTTACTTGACAATAATCTATGAAAAATTAATAATTTTCATTTGAACACTTGATGATAAATCATAATTTCTTTGGCTATTCTATCCTATGGTTTTTATCAGTGTTATAATAAATAAACACATTTTAACTGTTGCACTGTTCACACTGTGTGTGTGCAGATATAAATCAACACTAATCCCGAATCGACGTATCCTTTCTTCTTTCCAGAAGTCACTGGTAAACTTGTTTTAGTTCCTTTATTGCCTTACTGTCCTGAGCATGGGCAGTTTCCACTCCAAGACCTAGTTGTTAATTACGGTTGGCAACATTTTTTGGTTAGCTGGTTGTATTAGACAAACTGATATGAAAAATAGGTCTTTGTAATAAACACTTCTCCATAGGAAAAGTTATGTCACATTTACATCACAAATCCTTGGTAACACTTATTCCTAGTTTATTAACAACATAGATCCAAGTGAACTAGGAGAAAACTACTTCACAAAAAATATCAACTTACAAAACAACTTTCAAGCTAATTTGTTGCTACTGCTTTATTTCATCAAAATGGTGCTTTTTTTGCATGTAGCATTAAAGATCTACACAGGCAATTTGCAGGTATTTTTTTTGTAACCGGGATGTAATTACATTAACGTAATTTTCGTTCATTTATCAATTTTATATTATTGTTAGACTTCAAAAAAGCCCTATTTTCCAAAACAAGACGCGGCTCACATACAGAAAAATGGGATATTTTCTTTAGAATTTTCCTTCCTCTGGAGTTGGAACAAGACATGAAGACTTTCCAAACTCAACAACTGAGCATCTGTTAATCGTGCGTGAAAGAAACAATTGACAGAAAAGTGTTAATGTTGTAATTGTTGGGCGTTCCTTTCTTTAAGAGTTTATATGTTTAAACTCGTTTCTAGTTCAAACTTAACTAATTTTATAGATGCTGATTCTCCAAGGACTTGATGTGTAATCATGTGCAGTGAATAAAGTAGCTATCACTCACACCCCTTAACATCGCACTTTGTACGCCAGTCTCTTTGACGCATTCGGTCGATAAGAGGGTGTTGCGAAACTCTGAGTGGTGACGTTGTCACGAAACACTCGTGGCTGCGAAGGGCGGCAGAAGATTGGTCGGCGTCGACGGTGCCCTCGTCGGCGGTAGCGGTGGCGGTTGCAGTACTGGATGCAGCGCGGGTGGCAGCCCTGTTGGCAGCGCTGAAGGCAGCGCTGTGGTCGGCCTGAGGGCGGCACAAGTGGCACTCAACTGACCGCGTTGCGCAGCACGCTGTAGTCACCGAAGTTGGTCCAGGTGTGGTCCCAGAAGCGCGGATCGGCGCGCGGGTCCCACGGCAGGTTGGCGGCGGGAACCGCCGTGGCGTTGGCAGCTTTCAACAGCGACTGCAGATGGCGGAGCAGCGCGGGGAACCTACAGATCAGGGGCGTACTCGTCAATTTGCAAATACAGGAAAGTTTACTATTGTATTGTAGAAAAGTGAATCCGAAAAAAAGCAACAAAAATAGCAACAACAAAACAATACTTCGTATTCTAAACTAGTAGGAAGCACGGAATATCGGAAACTTTCCTTCTCTTAATATTATTACTCAACAATTACTCAGATTTTTTAAAAACGTGCATGACATCATTTAAAGATCTACAATTGAATGAAGTTATGCGGAGAGCGACCAAGCCACACCAATCTATACGATTGAAAAATGGCTTGGAAATCTAGAACAACTGGTAAACTTACGAGCTGCAAAAAAGCACGCCAAAAATGAGATGTATGAAGTATATACTCGTACTTCCAATTCACATTAGTATTTCATAATTTAGTCACCAATAACTACCATTGACAATTACTAGTATTGGCCAGTTTCTGCAATTTGTGCGTAAGAAGAGGAACAGGTAATTTAGCTTTTTAGACTCCCAAAGATACATTGTGAAAATTAATGAAATTTTGCACAACTGTCTGGATAGCGCCCTTGATAATTTTATGTGTTGGTCGCTTTCGACATACGAGTGATAAATTATATTGAATTGAATTGTTGCCTTATTTTACGAGGCGAGACTCAGGCCACCAGAAACACTCTTTTGTCTGACCACGCAAATTTCGCTACGCTCCTTTCACCCACTAGCGGAGAAAGGAGGTAGTTCTTGAGCGAGAAAACAGAAAAATTGAATTTAGCTCAAAAGATCATTTACATGCAATAAATCTACTAACATGGGAGAGGTGGCTTCACTTCCCCTCCCAAGGAAGGCGTACGAAAGATTTTTTCACACTAAAAATCCACGGTTTCGATTTCGGATATGAGCTCACGAACTTGGATATAACAGTCCGATTCGCTAACCGTAACACCATTGCCGCCGCGATTGAGAAAGTTACGTCGCGCTTTTAATCAATTTGAAGTAGCGGAACCCTTGCAATCACATCGAACTAATGGAAGAGCTGTACAAAATACAGAAAATGTCTATACTTTACGGAATATCGAAATCCTCCAAAGTATTCTTTCAAGTCGTTCAGTCGAAAGACCGGAGTCCACCCTTGCCGCGGAAGAGGTCTGTGCCACAAAGTCTTTCATTTGGGTTCACCATACAGTAAGTTTTAAATAATAAAACAAACAACTACAATGTATTTGTTTGAAGAGAAAACGTGGTCTTTATGTTGGAATTTCTTTGGAATGTGATATGAACAAAATGTTAAGTTTAGAAGAAAGATTAAAATTGTGAAATAAGGTTGGTTAATCTTGCAGTACTTGCGTCCCAGTTTGTCCCAATTCCTAACAAGTAATCGCGCGGGGTCCATACCTATGTAGCCCAAGAGAATATTATATTTTTAGTCATTATAAGTTTAGTAAAAACCTTCTGATCAAGAATTCTATTATCTCAAAGTGCTAATTTGAATGAGAAATGAAACTCATTAACACACGGAATTTAAGTCTACTGGTTTTGTCTCCCGCATGGAAAAATGGGATTGGCGACGTCTATTATCTTACGAAATATTTTATTTCTCCATTCAGCAGACGTGACGTGACAATAGTATATTATTATATTCGTAGTATATGGATCTGATAATTCATTAACGTCTTTAGGATTTCCTGCAGAGTAAAATTCCTTTTTATCCCCATAACAGTAGTGCTGCCAAGGGCTACAATTTTATCACAACCCACTTTTAAACTATCTGACAATAACGTGCTCACTAGACAAAGCTTGAAAGCGTGACTGGAATAAGAAACATGATATCTCAACCTACTGGTATCCTCACAACTCGATACACAGTAGACGTATCGTGTCAGCAAAAACAACGGCTGGACTACCCTTGCAGCTCGTGCGAGTGCTCTAGGGTTAAGGGGGATTCCACTACAGCGATGCACCGGCAAAAGTGGCACAGGACATCAACTGAAGTCTTTCCAAGAACCTCTGACCGGGAGGTCCTAGGCTTTGAGTCCTGACGGCGGCAGGACTTTCAACAGTAGCTAGACAGCTAGGGTCAAATTCAACCGCTGTCTGGATATTGCCTACTCAGAACAGTAGTTTTTCTTGGTTTCTCCGATCAACATTACATGCACCGCACTACCAGGCAGTCGGGCGCCTAGAACTTGTCCCGGCGGTGCCCCGCTGGTGGGAGATACGTGGTTAGGGAAAATTCCCGCAAGGCGACGGACGTCGGAGGCCGGTTGTTGCCATGCAGCAGCGGAGTGATCACCGCCATCTTCCGAGGCAAAACATGCTCTACACTTGCGGGACTATCAACCTTAGCAGTTGCCGCTCCCGGAATCACCAAACCCTCAATAGAATGTAGTTGCTGTCGTATATACCTGTGCGCGAGGTTGTTGCGCTCGCAGGGGTCGT